TAGGTTTAAAAAGCGCTAACAAGATCAGCTTCAGATCTGGGAGTCGATATTCAAGACGAAAATCGCCGGCACGAAGCTGTCGGCTTTGTCGACCACACGCAGAGATCCCAGTCATAATGTATTGAGCTGCCTTTTCCAAAGTCAATTTGAAATTAATAAGGTTAGTATTATACGAAACCGTCATGGTGAAAGCTTGTCTTAAACGAGAACGCCGGTGTTACGATGTATTAAATGCTCAAAACATAAAAATCTATACCTTAATTGTTTCCAGGTCCCCGGAAATTTCCACCTCTCCACTCATTCGCTGCCCTGCAGCTGGGAAACCCAGATGTCCGGCATGTGATACATTCATTGACGTTTGGAGATGATATTTCGGTGGGCTTATAACAGAATCAGGTAGTACAAAAGGAATTTACAATAAAAAGATATTTTCAAAGGTTTAAATGTTTTTAAGGTTTCAAGCATCAGGTACCCGTTATCAATTTAATGTATTCATAAGCCGTGACAGTCACTTCAAGCTAAAAAAAATTAAAGTAATATAAAGCTATTTTTAATGCGTTGCAGCCATTTAAACCTTATTTTTAAGGAAATTGCCCTCACTGGATCGTACGATCCGCTGGCAAAGAAAGACGTGAGCGTAGGTGTAGATGGACTCAACACACATGAATATATTTTAAAGGTATCCTCAACTGTTTTTGACTATTTTTATCATATTTGACATAAAGATTTTTGAGTTTTGCATTACCACCGAATCCATTAAATTTGTATATTTATCAGATTGTCCCATCCGTCTACCAAGACATCTCTGGAGCCGTCACAAACAGCTACCAATACACCTATGGACACCGGTAAACTACAAAGTACAACTCAAGAGAACAACCTTTTAGAAAAAACGCAATACTCACCACACGGGCCAGGTAATCCCGGCCGGCCGCTCAGGGACAACCGCAACCCATTACGGTCCGCCATGTCGAATATCGACAGGAAGTTTCTACACGTTTTGACATCAGTAAGTGCGCCGGCTAAATAAAACGTAGAAATCAAATACCGAAAATGTAGGTGGACAGGTGCGAAGCTGGTGGAACTTTTACCGTCGCCGGAATCATCGACCTAACTTCTTCACCATCCACGAAAAATGATCAAAAAGCAGCAGCTGGGCAAATTGACATGATTTTCGATAATTATTCTATCGATTTTCTTTAATTTGCATACATTTCTTCTAATTTTAACGGGTCAGGGTCAATTAATAAAGATTAATAATAACGTTTTGGAAGGAACAATGGACCTAGAAAAGGTAACAGACTACGAGGAGAAAGCGCTGAAAACAGAATCGAAACCGGAGAAATCAACACAGGAAACTTTTCCTTGGGCTTCCTAGGAATTTTAAAATACTTGAAATACTGGTTTTGCAGCTCTTCTTAACCTAAAGCGGGATTAGCAAAAGCAAATCACATCATGGCCATAAAAAGTCGCAAATTATCAGAAAATCATTGAAACAAAGAGAAATACTATAAAAAAACCGATGTAATTATGGATTGCTGAAGCTGGTCATTAAGAGAAATCATTGCTCACATTGAGATTAACAGCTGGATTACTAACCCGAATTTTGATTTTCAAGAGAAACGTAGCACTTTCTGGTAGACTGTCGACTGCCGGACACATGATTTCTAGTGTTCTACCTCCCAATGAGGACCTTGATTTGTGTATTTCGGTTTTTAGACCCGACCAAGGCTGCCTCTAAACAACGTGTGTGTGTGTGTGTCACAGTCCAGCAGGCGATGAGCCATCCTGCCTCAATCGATCCCCTTCTCTGTTCGACCTCGATTACCGGGCATATCTCCCTTTCGTCTTTCCCCCTACCCTCCCTTTCGGTCTGCCGGTTGTTTACGTCGCGCCCCGGCACCCTCCCGCACTCGTACTCCCTCCACTTGATGGCCTTCTGTTTTGGTCAACAATAACTGGGTTTATTACTTTATCTCGCTGTAATTTCCAATTGCCGGAAATTCGCGTTTGAAATTATTTAGAAGCTTGACTGACGCGCCAGCGCCAGATCTCGTTTTGTGCTTCTAGTTAGTACAACTTGAACTGAAAATTGCTCAAAAGTTCAAAGCAAATTTTTGTAGATTTAGAAAGCGAGAATTTGAAAAGTTTTGCAAAAATTAGGCGAAAGATTATCCGGTCGTAATCAAATGCCGGGAAAATCCATTTCAAACGCACAAATTATGGGGCTACCGCACCGCCGAACCCGAAAAGTATAAAACCGAACTTTAGAAAGCGTTTATAGAATTTTTGTCGGAGTTGAATAGTAGAAAGTTATTGCTCTTTTCGAATACTATGCCTTTAGAATTTTGAAGATTTGCGAGAAGAG